ATATTTTAAATTTCTATCTACTTTACTTATAAATATAGAAAAATTGATGGCTATATGTAAATTGGGATCTCAATTCAATTTTTTACTTCAATTGAGCGATCAATATTGATATTGACCAATAAAAACATAATAAAAGAAAACACAGATTATACTTTCTAGCTTTAATTTTATGTTTTGTTAAACTGCGAAATTGATCATAATATGCAAAGGTATTTTCTAAGGTGAAAAATATGATTTTCTTTATAATTGGAGTTACAAAGTTTTGACTTAACCCATGCGTTACAAATTTGAGAAACTTTAGTTGAAAATTAAGTGTGAATTTAAGGAAAAAAAAAAAGAATGAAATGAAATTGTATATGGAAATCGAGAAAATCTGACACGTGATTTTATAAGTGAGAACGGTGGGGTTGGATAGGTTGACTAGATGGACAACAATAATTAACATCAGTATAACACGACATATGGGCCAGCTTTCAATATTATTTTTATCTCTGATATCGAATCGAATTCCACGTGTTGTATTTTGCAGTGATAATAATTAATAAAAGGTATCTATCGGTTATGTAGGTTTAAGAAACCAAGTGGGACTTTAGAAAGAAAAATAGGGCAAGGCAGCCACATAAGGTTAAACCTTTCAGGGACGCCGTGGAAAAGAATTTAATCTACAGTCTAACCTCTCTATAATGATTCTCTATATAATGATACTCTATGAAACCAAGTGGGCCTTTAGAAAGAAAAATATGACAAAGCAACCAAATTTCAAAGATATCGTGGAAAAGAATTTAATATATAGTAGAACATCTTTATAATGATACTCTATATAAGAATAACCTCCATATAATCATAAAAAAATTTAGTCCTAACTTAGGTTAGTTATAAATAAGAATAAATTTTATATTATAATAAATTATAATTTTTCTAGGTCTTGTCCAAAGGAATTTGTCTGTACATAGTAATAATTATATGTATATTATAAAAAATATATGTTATATTACATCAAAGGTTTAAGATGAAATAAAATATTTATTTAAAGTTGTTTGAGACAATGATTTATGTTTTAAAGTTGTTACGCCATCTTTTATTTTACAGGTATGTAATAAGTCACCAGCATTGACGTCTTCTTGTTGAAGCCAAAATATTTCTAGTTTCTCAAGTATGTTTAAAGCTTTTTAGCATGAAACTTTTGGTATTTTTGTACTATCATCCTCAGGATTATCTCCTTACTCTTCTTGTTTAATTCCAATAATAGATTCTTCCTCGGTTAAAGTATACACGACTTGTTGCCCATTTGGATGATTGATGAATACATTAATATCTATTTGATTATAGTGTAGTTGTCGAATCTGATCACTCAATTTTGCAATGACTCTTTGATATCCATTTTCGTTACTATCCTAATGCTACTAAAACAATAAATTGAAATCATAATACTACTAAAACATGAATTATAAAATAAGAAATTAAAACAATAATTTTTTAATCAAAACAATAATTTTTGTAACTACACCTCCATTAAATTATAACCTCCTCATAGTAATAAATTTAGTTGGTCCCAACATTATGACTATAGAAAGGTTCTACTGTATTCTTTAATCAAGACAAACTTGTTTCCTTTTAGTTTTCACTTAATTGTTATAACTATTTTGAAGTACAAGTACAAGTACAATTCATGACATTTACTTATTGTTGATGCAAAAATCCGTATTGGGCTCTCGATTAGCCCAATAGCAAAAGGCTTCGCCAAGGTCCAATTCTAGTTAGCCCAATAACAAAAGGCTCCATGCCAAGACCCAACTCTGGTGGGCCCAATAGCAAATGGCTTCATGCCATGACCCAACTCCGGTTGAGCTCATGCCAAAAGCCCAACTCTGATAGCCTGAAAGCTTATGGCTCAGTGCCACAGCCCAACTCCTATTGGGCCCATATCAAAACTCATCTTGTGAGAGGACCATCTAGCAAGATGGTCCATTCTGTAAGAATGACTACTTTATGGGCATACCCATTCTACGAGCTGGTCCACACCACGAGTCAACATACTCCATGAGTTGGGCTACTCTACGAGTTGAATCACTTTAAGATCAATGTCACCCTACGAATTGGGCTAACCTATATTTTAGGCTCCACGAGTTGGGCTTTTGATAATCCGAGGATTATGCTAGTTTATTTAAGCTTTTAGGCCGAATTTTAGATACTTCTTAGTCTATTTTTGCCTAAATTGCTACTTAATTCCTTACATTCGTGTTTCAGGTTAAAATGAAAATTTTGAGCGAATAAAGACAGATTTGGAGTTTTTGGACTTAGAAGCAAGCAGAGGACAATTCTGAAATTTTAGAATTCTTCAGGAAGCTTCGCCGTGACGAAGAACAACCTTCGCCGCGGCAAAATGGGCTAGTGACGTACCAGATTCAGCTCCTTTGTCGTTGCGGCGAGATTCCTTCTTCGCCGCGGCGAAGTCTGCGTACTCCACTTTTTGTAAAACGCACAGTTTTGTTTTTAGGCGAAGTGTAAGATTTTGGGCGAGCTATAAAAGAAATATTTAGTTTTTTTGTTTGGGCGTTCGTGGAGAGAAAAAGAGCAGTTTTTACATTTTCTTAGGTTGATTTTTGAGTGATTTTTGGATTAACAAAGTGTGAAGATTCGAGGTGAAATCAGTAGACGGCGTCGGCTTCTTCCTGAATTGTTGGTTATATTACTAGCATCCTGAGAATCGCGCCCCAAATCAGATCTTCAGGGATATTGTACTGTTGGTGGGGTTGGGGGAAGCGTTGAAGAACAGCTCATCACCTGAGTTTAAAGGAAACATAGTGCAAAAATAATAAGGGTTTCTGAAGGTTTGTCTCTTAGGGTTAGATATGGTTAAGGCACACGTTTGTTAGGGTATGCGATCTGTATGGGCCAAGAGAGATGTAAAGATTCCCCGAAAATTTCTTCAAATAAAAGATGATAAAAAACTCACCCACCGGCCATTTTAAAGCTGGCTTCTATGTTGTGGACACTGTTCCTATATACAAAAGTGACCCACTCATTTGCATTCACATTTGGTGGAACCTTAAATTCATAACTTGTACAATCAATTATTTTAAATTTCTATCTACTTATCATTATTATAAATATTAGAAAAAATGATGGCTAATGTAAATTGGGATCTCAATTTCAATTTTTACTTCAATGAGCGATCAATATTGATAATATATATCAATATCAATGAATAAATTTTCGATAATAAGTACTAAATCCGACCAATAAATAAAGAAAACACAGATTATACTTTCTTAGCTTTAATTTTATATTTTGTTAAACTGCGAAATTGATCATAAATGTAAAGGTATTTTCTAAGGGGTGAAAATGATTTTTCTTTATAATTGGAGGTACAAAGTTTGACTTAAACCATTCGTTCAAATTGAGAAAACTTTAGTTGAAAATTTATGTGAATTTAAGGAAAAAAAAAAAAAAAAGAAGAATGAAATGAAATGTTAAGGAAATCTGAAAAATCTGTAATGTTAGTTAACATGATGACATGAATAATAAGTGAGAACGGTGGGGTTGGATAAGGTGACTAAGATGGACAACAATAATTAAATCAGATAACACGACATATGGGCAGCTTTCAATATATATTTTTATTCTTTGATATCGAAATCGAATTTCAACTGTCTATATTTGCAATGATAATAATTAATACAAGGTATCCATCAGTACGTAGTATAACTTTTTGTGTTGAAGACATGGTAGTAAGCTACATTAGAATTCTAGAATAACATAAATAAACTGCCATAATGTATATGTATATATATATTCACCATATAATGATCTTCGTAGACTTAAAAATACAACAATATGTAATTCATGCACGATGGAACTGGTGATTGCATGCATGCAAACATTTCAAATGTTTGGTCTTTTGAAGCATAGCGAACATATTAATTAGAGAGATTTTTGGTCTTTATGCTCTAGTTGAAGTCAGTTAACCTTCAAAAACACATTAAAAGTGTATATCCCTATGAGCTGGCATAAGATCTGAATAGGTTTCCCCGTATCCACCAATAATTATTCTATAAGATTTTTTAGAATTCAGTCCATAAATCGAATCATCAAAGGATTCGAAGACAATACATACCCAGCGTGGACCACAGATCATTCAGCCAGTTGGTAGCACTACAAATCTGCCATCCTCCACAACCAACCTCCCAATCATATATATCAAATATATATTATACATATATATCAGAGAGAGAGGAGGACCATATCAAACTAGAATGCAATTGACTTATCATACTACGAAGTAAGAGAAGAAATTAATGTAGTATGCAATAGTTAAAGATAATACAGTAATATATTTACTTATTAAATAACCTTTCTCATAATTTAAACCAAAAACACCTTAACTATGTAATCATATCACATGCACAACATTAATGCAATAGTAAATTGAAATACATATATATATATATATCAATTTGAGAATTCTCAAATATGTAGATGTCCATACCTTTTTTTGGAACTATATAAATTTTATTAGAAGAAGACCGATGAGGGATTTACCATTAATTCAAGTAAAAAGGAAATTCAATCACTTTCACAATCATGGATGAATATCATTCCGCAATCAATTTCCATGAACAATATGCTTTTACTATTAAAATATCCTTCAAGGACTCAATGATGAACAGAAAGTGAAACCAGAAGCTGCTCTACTTTATTCAATGTGGTGATATCAAAGATGATATTGTTCCCACCACTACCACTACCATTAAAAGATAAAAGGAAAAAAAAAAACGCTACAGAATATGGAATTTTCTGTATATGCGACATCCAAATGCATGCAATGAGGAATAGTAAATTTACCCTTTTGAGGTGAATCACCAAACCCACCGTACCATCAAAGTTATAAATGCGTTCGCGCATCCACACCATGCTAAATTAGGCTTTTTACTTGACTGAACAGGAAGGAACACAACACATGGAAACCAAAGTAAAGCAGAAACCCCTTTTGCACATGCAATGATATGCACAATTTTGCTCAAGAAAAACAAATAAAAAGATATGCACAAAATGCTCAAAGAGAAAATCTGTACATGAAGGTGTGGGATATATTTACTGAAGATGGTCAAAAGGTTTTTGATAATTTCGCATTCCACCAAAGTTTCTTATAACGAAAACCTGAAAAGCGAGGAGCCTCAAACATTCTCACTGAATAATTACAAACAACTCAGGTTCAACGTTAGATTGTTGCAGCCTAAGGGTGGAAATTTTGAAATAATCACAGCTATCATGCTACTTCACTTGTTAGTTTCTGTTGCAGCTCGCCTAGGTTGAAGCATGATGGATCATTCACCTGTAAAATAAATAGAGACATTAAAGATGAAGCTTGGATAACAACGGCAAAACATATGCATAAACCCTAACTATACACAAATCTCCATGAAAATAAATTAATGCCAATTAACCGCACCTCAGTCTGGATCGTGTGAAGTAGCCTATCGCTTACTTTGGTAGAGATACAATTAACAACACGAAGTCCTTCATCAAGCAGTATTTCAATTACTCTTGATAGGGGCAAACCTTGCTCCCAGTACCCGCAACCATAAACGACCTCCACTCCGACAAGACTTTGCCTGACGATGATATTGCTTTGACATACGCTTTGATCGGAGCTTCCACTTTCTGAGCCATGACTACTCGAATTTGACGATTTCTTTAGTTCATCTCTCCTGACACCCAGTTCTTTGATTCTCACCTCAAGATGCTTTATATAGTTCACGGCCTCGTTCATCTGATCCGACATCGAACGCTTTCCCTGAAAAACCCCCATCAACTTTTCTCTAGAGTCACATACATTCTATAATTTTTCCCAACCCAACCCGCACTCCACAGTACACACAGAAAGGGAAAAAAATACAGATTAATTCTTCACAAATTTGAGGAAAATCAATTAAAGAAAGTAATGAGAAAGTTTATATATTATTTGAAAAAATCATAGGAACAATCAAAATTTACAAAATTACTAGCAAGAAAAGTGGGAAAAGAAGAAGAATATGTAGGGTTATTCACCTTGATATATTCAAGAGGGAGTAAAGATCGAAGCGAAGCATGAAGGGTGGCCATTTCTTGCCTTCTTTGGCGCTCAATATCTCTATGCATCATCTTCTTCTTATTATTATCACTATTAGTGTCATCGGCAGTGTCCATAACACATGATTTTCGACGGCGTCGGCTTCTTCCTGAATTGTTGGTTATATTACTAGCATCCTGAGAATCGCGGCCACAAATCAGATCTTCAGGGATATTGTACTGTTGGTGGGGGTTGGAGGAAGCGTTGAAGAACAGCTCATCACCTGAGTTTAAAGGAAACATAGTGCAAAAATAATAAAAGGGTTTCTGAAGGTTTGTCTCTTAGGGTTAGATATGGTTAAGGACACGTTTGTTAGGGTATGCGATCTTTGTATGGGCCAAGAGAGATGTAAAGATTCCCCGAAAATTTCTTCAAATAAATATGATGATAAAGAAGTGACCTCACCCACCGGCCATGTTAAAGCTGGCTTCTATGTTGTGGACACTGTTCCTATATACAAAAGTGACCCACTCATTTGCATTCACATTTGGTGGAACCTTAAATTCATAACTTGTACAATCAATTATTTTAAATTTCTATCTACTTTACTCAATTTTACTTATAAATATTTAGAAAAATTGATGGCTATATGTAAATTGGGATCTCAATTTCAATTTTTTACTTCAATTGAGCGATCAATATGGAGATTAACGACCAATAAAAACAATAAATAAAAGAAAACACGATTATACCTTTCTTAGCTTTAATTTTATTTTTTGTTAAACTGCGAAATTGATCAATAATATGCAAAGGTATTTTCAAGGGTGAAAAATATGATTTTCTTTATAATTGGAGTTACAAAGTTTTGACTTAACCATGCGTTACAAATTTGAGAAAACTTTAGTTGAAAATTTAAGTGTGAATTTAAGAGAAAAAAGAAGAATGAAATGAAATTTGTATATGGAAATCGGAAAATCATGACACGAATTTAATAAGTGAGAACGGGGGGTGGATATTGGTTGACTATGAGGGACAACAATAATTAACATCAGTATAACACGACATATGGGCCAGCTTTCAATATTATTTTTTATTCTTTGATATCGAAATCGAATTTCCAACGTGCTATATTTTGCAATGATAATAATTAATAAAAGGTATCCATCAGTTACTGTAGTTACTAAGAAACCAAGTGGGACTTTAGAAAGAAAAATAGGGCAAAGCAGCCACATAAGGTTAAACCTTTCAGGGACGCCGTGGAAAAGAATTTAATCTACAGTCTAACCTCTCTATAATGATTCTCTATATAATGATACTCTATGAAACCAAGTGGGCCTTTAGAAAGAAAAATATGACAAAGCAACCAAATTTCAAAGATATCGTGGAAAAGAATTTAATATATAGTAAAACTTGTCTACAATGATATTCTATATAGGAGTAATCTCCGTGTAATTATAAAAAAATTTGGTCTCAACTTGGATTAGCTATAAATAATAATAAATTTCACATTATAATTAGTTATAATTTTTATAAGTCTTGTCCAAAGGAACTTGTCTCTACATAGTAATAATTTTATGTATATTATAAAAAATATATGTTATGTTACATCAAATATTTAAGATGAAATAAAATATTTATCTAAAGTTGTTTGAGACAATGATTTATGTTTTAGAGTTGTTAGCATATCTTTTATCTTATGGGTATATAATAAGTCACCAGCATAGACACCTTTTTGTTGAAGCCAAAACATTTCTAGTTTCTCAAGCATATTTAGAGCTTTTTAGCATAAAACTTTTGGTATTTCTGTACTATCATCCTCAGGATTATCTCCTTACTCTTCTTGTTTAATTCCAGTAATGAATTCTTCTTCAGTTAAAATATATACGACTTGTTTCTCATTTGGATGATTGATGAAGACATTAATATTTATTTGATTATAGTGAAGTTGTCGAATCTGATCACTCAATTTTGCAATGACTCTTTGATATCCATTTTCGTTACTATTCTAATGCTACTAAAACAATAAATTGAAATCATAATACTACTAAAACATGAATTATAAAATAATAAATCAAAACAATAATTCTTGTAACTACACCTCTATTAAATTATAACCTCCTCATAGTAATAAATTTAGTTGGTCCCAACATTATGTCTATAGAGAGGTTATACTGTATTCTTTAATCAAGACAAACTTGTTTTCTTTTATTTTTCACTTAATTGTTATAACTATTTTGAAGTACACGTACAATTAATGACATTTACTTATTGTTGATGCAAAAATCCGTATTGGGCTCTCAATTAGCCCAATAGCAAAAGGCTTCGCCAAGGTCCAACTCTAGTTGGCCCAATAACAAAAGGCTCCATGCCAAGGCCCAACTCTAGTGGGCCCAATAGCAAATGGCTTCATGCCATGACCCAACTCCGATTGAGCTCATGCTAAAAGCCCAACTTTGATAGCCTGAAAGCTTAAGGCTCGGTGCCATAGCCCAACTCCGATTGTGCCCATATAAAAACTCATCTTGTGAGAGGACCATCTAGCAAGATGGTCCATTCTGTATGAATGAATACTCTATGGGCAGACCCATTCTACAAGTTGGTCCACACCATGAGTCAACCTACTCCACGAGTTAGGCTACTTTATGAGTTGGATCACTTTAAGATCAATGTCACCCTACGAATTGGGCCAACCTACATTTTGGGTCACTCCATGAGTTGGGCCTTTCTACAGGATAAGTTACCTTAGGCTCTAGCCCATCAGTCTACACTCATCGCATAATAGGACTTTAAGTCTCATACATATCCTAGTTCATCCAAGAATCATAGTCTTACATGAATTAGTACTCTTATTGCATGTCGAGTCGACCAAGTGTTACATGACTCCATGCCCAGTCGACCAAGTGTCACTCGACTCCACTCCTAAGGTAGAGCCTCACAATTGTACAATAGGGGGCAAGCTGAAGTTGGCAGATACCATCCCTCATCCTAGCCAACTACACATCGATGATGTCAAGTCAATCAAGAACAACTTGACTGTACATCATGTCAAAGCAACCTAGCCTTGCACCAAGGCAAAACGATTCGGCACTACATCAAAGTTTAGCTCTACATTATGAGTTGACACAAGTTGACTCGACATAACATGTCAAGTTGACTACTCCAATTCAAGTCTACTTGACTCTGATCTCATCACTCATGCTCGTTAGACACAGCGTCGAGCAGGCATCCTCTCTTCATTGAGTATGAAAGAGATCACTCGCAACCCTCTCAAGGGCATTACTTCACTCACTCGACACCTACATTTGACTCGAATTACTCTCTAAGCCAAGAGCCTCTTAACTTAGAGAATGTGGGACAAATTGTTGATGCAAAAACCCTATATTAAGCTTTTGACTAGCCCAATAGTAAAAGACTTCGCGCCAAGGCCCAACTCTGGTTGGCCCAATAGTAGATGGCTTCATGCCACAACCCAACTTTGGTTGGGCTCATGCCAAAAGCTCAACTCTGGTTAGCCTGAAAGGTTAAGGCTTAATGCCATAGCCAACTCTGGTTGGCTCGAAAGCTTAAAGCTCAATGCCACAGCCCAACTCCGGTCAGGCCCATATCAAAACTCATTATGTGAGAGGACTATCTAGCAAGATGGCCCATTCTGTAAGAATGACTATTTTATAGGTCGGCCCATTTTACGAGTTAGTTCACATCACGAGTCAGACTACTTTACGAGTTGGATCACTCAACGATCAAGGTCACCCTACGAATTGGGCCAACCTACATTTCGGGTCACTCATCGAGTTGGGCCTTTCTGCAGATAAGTTACCACAGGCTCTAGCCCATCAGTCTACACTCATCCCACAATAGGTATTTAAGTCCTATACATATCCTAGTTCATCCAAGACACCTAGTTCATCCAAGACTCCTAGTCTTACATGAACTAGTACTCCTACTCCTACTCCTACATGGATTAGCACTACGAGTTTCTTGTTTACTAAAGCTCCTATTGTGAGAACACCTAGTTCTACAAGGACTCAAGCTTTTGTGGCTCATTATATAAATAGAGGTCAGCTCTCTCATTATGGATGAAATCACAACCGTTCTCACTAGTTCACTAAGTTTTTACTTCCAAGAACCACCGTCTTTCCCTGCCGCAGAGTCGAGGTCCAACCACTCTACGTCAGTAATCATCGTAGAGTTGAGTTTTAGCCACTCTACACTAATAAGTCGCGCCCTAGCTTCACAATTTCGGTAAACTCTTTCTTACTCTCAGCCTTACTAAATATCTCACAATAGGCTTGAGCGTTAGAGTGCCTACAATTGACACCACATCGATGTCCCCAAGTGCTTTGCGTTAACTCTTCTTTCTCTCTGCAGGTCTACGAGATTACCCGTGGCTCATTCCTCACAAGATCAAATCCAAATGAATTCCTGGTAGATTTTACCTTCTACACTTACATAAAAAATATTTTTCGATAAAAAAATTGAGTACTCTCTAGAGACCTAAATGCATTTTTCACATAATTAGCATTTAAAAAAAAAATGTAAAGAAATAACTTTTTAGTTGAAGGAATTTATTTTTGGAAATAAGCCTAAAGAGAAAGTCTTGCTTACAATTGATGCTTTGAAGTAGTATACCAATCTTATTATTATGTGAAGTCTCATACCCAACACTTCTTTAAAACCTATATTTTAATGCCTTCGTTTTCCTTTCTCTGTGTAACATTCCTATCCCTTCTTCATCATTTTATCTCTATATACTAAAACGTTCATTCTACGGTAATCATTGTGATCTTTAGACTTTAGTCACATCTCCATTCAAATAATTGGTCACTTTTCTAGTAATCGTCATCGATATAAAATAGCTCGATTAACCCTCCCCCCCAAAACAAAAGAACAGTGGCAATTTTATTATTAAATCAAATTTCAATTTGTTATTATTTTAATTTATTATTTTAGCAAGCATGCAGTGAACTTGGTTTCATTATGCTTCTAAAATCTTCTGAGAATAGAGGATCCTCTTCCTTCATTGCTTATTATTGTAGACCTAATCCAAATCAAACAGAGAAACTGATCTATTAGTTGGCGTTGAGGTGAGAAATAAGGAAAAAAAAACAAAAAAAAAGAGTTAAAGCAAAGAGAAAATTGGAGACTATATGTTAATGGTAATAATATAGTTGGGTTAATGTTCAAGTTGACTGAAATTTGAAACATAGGCCATCTGATATTTTCAAGCATAATCCAGTCACGCCTTCAACTTGTACGACAAAAATAGCCTATATATTTGAATGATTTTGTGCAAAAGCTCCATGGTTCTACAACTTATTGGGGTTCCAGCACTGTTAGAACATTCAAAACCCTTTCTAAATTCCCGTGGTTATCGCATTTCTTATTGA